ACCTATTCAATCATTAAAGCTCCCCCGCACACTGAGCTTGCCGCGACAAGTTGTTTAGCTTGCTCTTCAACATTCGCCGTAAGCCTAGCGCAACAGTAAAACATCTTTGCTTCTCTAAGGCCGCCATTGGCAAATTCGAAATCAACACAAAGTCTAAGTGGTTTTAGTGACGTTCGAGGGCGACAAGATGAGCATTGTGTCGGCACCGGACGACTTGACACTCTTCGATAAAGATGTCACTCATGAAGAGATCGCCTAGCACGTAGCTCAATCAGAATTCAATTACAGAAGTCCTTCGCGAAGAAAACAGAAATTTTCTGAAAAGGGAAAGGCCTTCCTGAAGGAATTAAGAGTGAAGAATAGGCAAGCCGCTTTCAAAGGCCTTAAAGCAAGTATCGATCGCGTGAGACAGCTTTGCCTTAACCCATTAGTGGAATGCGAGACTTTGGAGATTGAACGAGATAAGCTAGACTCGCTGAAAAACACGTTTAATGAATCGCATTACGCTTATGAATCATTGCTCGATAGTCACGCCGAAAAGGAAGAATCATATCATTGGTATGATATTCGAGATAGAGAGTTCACAGAGCTCAGGATGAAACTTTGTGAGCGTATTCAAATGTACGAACGAAAATCAATGTATAGTAAGTCTAACCCGCCATCGATTAAAAGTGTCAAAAGTAGAGCTTCCAAAGGTTCCCTATCCTCGTCCATGCACTCCGTTTCCCAGGCAAGAGCCGACGTCGCAGCCGAGGCAGCTCAATTCCAGGTCGAAATCGAATATCTCGAACGAGAAAAAGAACTCAAGCGCCTAGAGTTAGAAAAAAGGCTCGCTCTTGCTAAAGCCAAAGAAAACGCTTACAAAAATATTCTAGATGAAGACAACCGCGATGAAATCGATAAGATCAACAAGGATAGCACGCAAAACGTCAAACGGGAAATGAATCCGAACATCCCTCCCTTCGTCCTCAAATTAAAACAGGAAATTAAGACAGAGAAAGAGCACAACGCAGAAATAATCCCTCCGATCCCGGCCGCAAACGTAACGAAACAGAAACTTGACCCGAACTCTGATCATCATACATATCAACCACAAACACTTGATCATGCTTTAGGTCAATTAATTAATCTTCAAGCGCAACAAGCGCACTTAAGTTCGCTACTCATCGATCAACAAAGGACCTCTCAACTTCCTGTCAAGGAGCCTCCGACGTTTGCCGGTAACTCGTTCGAATATCCAGCTTTCGTGACTGCCTTTGATAACATAATATCCGCTAATGTTTCCGACGACAAGGATCGATTGTTTTTCTTGGAGAAATACACGACAGGCAAAGCGAACGAGGCCATCAGCGGTTTCCTAGCAACCAATTCAGATACCGCCTACAGAGAGGCTCGGAAGCTACTCAAGCAGCGTTTCGGTAACCCTGTGGTAGTCGCAGAAGATTACAAAAGGAAGTTATTAGAGTGGAAGCAGGTCAACGACGGTGACAGCCAAGGCCTACAAGATTTTTCCGACTTCCTTGTTCGCTGCCTGGAAGCTATGAAAACGATGAAGTCGATGTCCGAGCTCAACTCGGCAAAGACCCTCCAATCCATCGTCGCCAAACTGCCATCGTACTTGGGAGTCAAGTGGTGCAGGTCAGCTCACGACAAGCTAAGCAAAGAGGACAGAATAGTGGAATTCGAAGACCTAGCAAAGTTTGTAAAACAAGAGGCAGAGCTCGCCAACGATCCGATTTTCTCGCCGGAAATGTTAAAAAGAGAACGACGAAAGAACATTCCGCTTACGAAAGACAACCGTGGCGCTAGGTCTAGACCGCAAAGCGGAGCTCGTCCAAGCCAGTCCCTAGCTACAAGCACCACAAAGGCGAAGCAGAATGAACAGCGATCACCTCTCCCTGCAACAGCAACGTACGGGCCGACGTGTCTCATCTGTGACGGCAAACACGCGATAGCAAAGTGCGATACTCTCAACCAAACTAACGCTGACGCAAGGTTTGAGCTTGTAAGAGAGAAGCGCTTGTGTTTTAGATGTTTCAAATCTGGCCACGTGTCTGCGGACTGCCCATCGAAATCAACCTGTGGCGAATGCGGCAAACGACATCATACCTTGTTACATGGATCCACACCAAGAACGAAGTCACGTGACGAGCAGAGGACATCCGCCACTGGACCACCACGCAGTCAATCGAAACCCTCGCAATCCTCTCCTGATGCCGAATCCGCGCACTCCAACGCAACGAGTGTTACACACAACTCCGTCGGTACATACACAACCACCTTATGCAGAATCGTTCCAGTAGTGTTGTACCACAAGGACGACCCGAATACTGAACTAAAGACTTACGCCCTCTTGGACGACGCGAGTGACACGACGTTTGTAACGAACCAAATGAAGAACAAGCTGGGTTTAAAAGGAGTGGGAACCAACCTAAATCTGAGTACCATGCACGGAAACGAGGTCATCCAAGTCACCCGGCTGGATGGCCTTATCGTAGAACGCCCCGACAGACGCGCCACAGTTGAACTCCCCAAGGCGTATGCTAGAGACGCGATCCCTTCGAGAAGAGACCAGATACCAACCCCGGATGTAGCGGATAAGTGGCAGCACCTGCGGCGCATTAAAGATAAAATCCCGCCGATCGACGACAGCCTCGAGGTCGGAATACTTATCGGGTCCAACTGCCCAAAGGCGATCAAACCAAAGGAGATTATCACAGGGAAGAGCAACGACCCTTACGCAGTACGGACCATACTCGGATGGTGCATCGTCGGACCATCAAACCCATCGGAAGCGACCACGGACGAAGAGGTCTTGGCGAACTGCAATCGTATAATCGCGCGCGAGGCATGCAACAGCGATGAAAGGGTAGTTCAATTCGTAATCAGTAAGCCGACGAAGGAACTCGTTAACCCCATTGCTGTAGCTAAGATGTTCGAGTTAGATTTCGTGGAGCACATGGCCAGCCCCACTAAAGGCCTCTCTAAGGAAGACAGGCGATTCTTGCAAATCGCTTCAGAAGGTATCCACAGAACCGAAGACGGTCATTACGAGCTACCGTTACCGTTACGAGACGAAAATGTTACCCTCCCGGATAACAGAGCGGCAGCGGCACGCCGCCTTGATCAGCTTAAGAGAAGATTCGAGTCCCCAAACGGAAAGCAATACCGCGAGGACTACATAAAGAGCATGAATAGCATGATAGATAACGGATATGCTGAAATGGTCCCACCCGACGAGACGACCAATGGAAGCGACAAGAACTCGCTAACGAAACCCAAGAGATGGCTGATCCCTCACCACGGCCTGTACCACCCCAAGAAAAGAAAATTTCGCTGTGTCTTTGATTGTGCGGCAGTTTACCAAGGCCAATCCCTTAATAAGAACTTGCTCCAAGGACCAGACCTGACAAACAACCTAGTAGGAGTGCTGAGCAGATTTCGGCAGGAGCCAGTGGCCTTTTCTTGCGACATCGAAGGAATGTTCCACCAAGTCAGGGTCAACGAAGAGCACAGAGATCTATTGCGCTTCCTTTGGTGGCCGAACGGCGACATAAAAAGGGAGCCCAAAGAATACCGAATGACGGTTCACCTGTTCGGAGCTACATCCTCCCCGGGCTGCGCCAACTTCGCGTTAAAGGCGACAGCTGATGACCACGAGACCGAGTTTGGTGCCGCTGCCGCGAGTTTCCTAAGGAACGACTTCTACGTAGACGACGGCCTGAAGTCCGTCCCTACAGTTGACGAAGCAGTGAAGCTGGTCGAGAACGTGAAGGAAATATGCCGCAAAGGTGGATTTAACCTTCACAAGTTCCTCTCGAACAGCAAAGAGGTCATAAGAAGCATTCCCGAAGCCGACAGAGCAGACGGTATTAAGGAGATGGATCTAGACCTCGACTCGCTTCCCCTGGAGCGCACCCTCGGAGTTCATTGGTGCATCGAGTCCGATTGCTTCGAGTTTAGAATCATCCTCCAAGACAAACCGTGCACCAGGCGAGGCATCTTATCTACAATTAGCTCTATCTTCGATCCCCTGGGATTCGTAGCCCCACTCCTGTTGGAAGGCAAGTCTATTCTTCAAGATTTGTGCAGAGAAGACTTGGGCTGGGACGACACCATACCAGATGAGACTAAGGTCACGTGGGAAAGGTGGAGAACAGAGTTGATGCAGCTGCAGCGCATTTCCATCCCAAGGTGCTACAAGCCCGATGGCTTCGGTCGCGTCGTCAAAACAGAGCTGCACCACTTCTCAGATGCGAGCACAAGAGGCTACGGTCAATGCAGCTATGTACGCATGATAGATGAACACGACAGAATCCACTGCGCTTTCGTGATTGGAAAGTCCAGAGTCGCCCCCCTCAAGCCAGTGACCATACCACGTCTAGAGCTTACTGCCGCCGTCTGCTCTACGAGGATAAGCCAGCAAATCCATAGAGAACTAGACTATCGGGTTAATCGGGACTTCTACTGGACAGACAGCAAGGTTGTTCTCGGCTACATCAACAACGAGAGCAGACGCTTCCACGTGTTCGTGTCAAATCGGGTGCAAGAAATCCAGGACAGTACCAACAGCAACGATTGGAGATACATCGAGTCCAAGGAGAACCCTGCAGACGAGGCATCGCGGGGGATGAAGGCCCAAGAGCTCAAGGACTCGAGATGGATACTGGGACCAACATTCTTGTGGAAAAAAGAGACCGAGTGGCCGAATAGCGACGAGAACGACTACAGTCTGAGCAACCCACAAGAAGACCCCGAAGTGAAGAAGTCCGTCGTCATGGCAACAGCAACATCGGACCAAAGGAGCTACCCAGCGATGGACGAGAGAGTAGAGCGTTTCTCCAGCTGGTATAGGGCAAAGCGAGCCGTGGCCCTATGCATGAAGTGCATAAGTAGACTTAAAGCTCGAATCAAGAAAGAGAAAGTAGAAGAAGAAGTCAGGGTAGAAGATGTGGAAAGAGCAGGACGCCTCATCATTCGCGCGGCGCAAGAACGGGCATTCAAGGATGAGTTAAAGAATATGACGAACGGAAGTGAAGAGAAGAAATTTCGCGGAGAGCTTAGCAAGCTTGACGCGCTCATCGATGAAGACGGTATCATACGCGCCGGCGGACGACTGAAACACGCAACCTTGTCGGCCTACGTGAAGCATCCAATAATCTTACCCAAGGGCGCGCACATCTCTTTGCTTGTAATAAGGCACTTCCACGAGCGCGTCTCACACCAAGGCAAAGGCATCACCCTCAACGAAATCCGATCCAATGGTTTTTGGGTCGTTGGTGGCACATCTGCAGTCCGCAGTGCAATAGGTCGTTGCGTCAAGTGCCGCAAGCTCCGCGGGCCAGTGGTCGAGCAAAAGATGTGCGACCTACCCAAGGATCGACTGGAGTGCTGCCCACCATTCACATATTGCGCCGTCGATTACTTCGGGCCGTTCGCGATCAAGGAAGGACGCAAAGAGCTTAAGCGATATGGCGTCCTGTTCACCTGCTTGTCGTCAAGAGCGATCCACCTCGAGACTGCGACATCGCTCGAGACGGACACGTTTCTCAATGCACTAAGGCGTTTCCTTAGTCGTAGAGGTCCCGTGCGACAGATCCGGAGCGACCAAGGCACAAATTTCGTGGGAGCGCAAAGAGAACTAAAAGAGGCGTTCAACGAGATGAACGTCGACAACATCAAGGCGGAATTACAAAAGATACAGTGCGACTGGGTCACCTTCAAGATGAATGTGCCTGCCGCTAGCCATATGGGCGGAGTGTGGGAGAGACAAATCAGGACGGTGCGCTCCGTCCTCTCATCTCTTCTACTCGACAACGGATCCCAGCTTGACGACGACTCCCTACGCACGTTCATGTGTGAGGCGGAGTCGATAGTCAATAGTCGCCCCCTCACCATCAACCAACTGACGGACCACGACTCGCCAGAACCCCTGACACCTAGCCACTTACTAACTATGAAATCCAAGGTGCTTCTACCGCCCCCGGGAAATTTCGAAGCGGCTGATATCTACGCACGAAAGCGCTGGCGTCGCGTTCAATATTTGGCCAACCAATTCTGGACTCGCTGGCGTAAGGAATTCTTGCTGAGTCTGCAGGGAAGGAACAAGTGGACGCGCACGCGCAGGAACCTGACAATTGAGGACATCGTGCTGATAAAGGACGAGAATCTTCCCCGCAGTACGTGGCAGCTGGCACGTGTGTCAGACGTGTACCCTAGCAGCGATGGCAAGGTGCGAAAGGTCCAGGTAGCTCTTGCAGATGGCTGCCTGGACAAACAAGGAAAGAGGTCAGCAGCAGTGCGTTACCTCGATCGTCCCGTGCAGAAACTTGTTCTGTTAATGGAGGCGTAAGTCTGTTTACCGGGGAATTCCCGGCCGAGGGAGCCTACAGACAAGGAACTGTGAGTTCGATAGTCATAATCATATATAACGAACATTGGACATTATTAGTTTCAGTTAAGCAACGATAGTGAAATATTTTAATATTTCAGGGGAGCCATGTTAGAAACATAGAATCGAGGCTCCTCTGTCTTTGATTATTTGCATATTAATTCTGATTTGCCACACCATATTTACTCAATTACGTCACAAGCT